GATCTAGAAATTAGAGCACTTAGAAATTTTATTGTTTTCTCAAAAGATATGTCTTTATACTCTCCCTCAATTTCCAAAAATCTGAGTTCATTTAGTTTACTCCGTTGGAAAATAGCAAAGATATATAGACAAACACGATGACAAAAAAAAACAAAAAGTTGCGGGTGATGTATTTGTTGCTTATTTTTCTGCGAATGTGCTCTGTATAGGAAAAAACAATCTATAGCAGACTTATAGCCGGTTGTTTGAAGTATCGAAGAGAAAAAAATATATTGCTCAAACATACCATTTATTGACATGGGATTTCATTGTAATTAACGTAACGCGATGACACAAATCAGAATTCAAAACTTCCTCATCTACTACCGAATCTTTTCAATGATCAGTAAATATCAACAAAACTATTGCTTGTCAGTACAAAAAGTAAGAGTTTTCACTTGCTGTATTCCAGGGTCTGTAAGACGACAATAGTAATTTTTAAACTTAATATTTTCATTCAGGTTGACACGTTACACGTACAAACCAATATATGTGTGAATTGCAAAATTATTGTACCGTTTCTTGAAAAAACTGATGAAAAAAAAATTTTTTATTTTGAATACGATGATTAGTGCAATCTGTAGTACTATATGAGAGGAGAATATGAATAAATTTTCCCAACTATCCCTATCAAATTGCTTAAGATACGACAGTTTTTTTAAAGTACTGCTTAAAAATACCAGATCAATGGACTTTGATAGTACACACTTCAGTTGAGTTTCTCGACGGTATTTTAGGTTTTAATGTTGAGTCTCTTCTTTGTCTTGATGAATAGCGACTAAAACCGCATGATTTATCCTAAATTATATTTAGTTTTTACGCTCATACAGTGATAAAAATTGCAACAATGTAGCTCTTTAGAGAATGTATACAATTAGTGACTTTTCTCTGTGAATTTATCGACCTGTAAGACACAAGCTAGGATTAATTCACATGACTGTTGATAGTTCCTTAAATATAGAAGTTAAGTGGTATATTGTGTATCTACTTTGACTTTAGTTGTGAGATAGTTATAGACATAATAATTAGGGATGCAACGGCGACGGTGCTCACCGATGCACCCTATACTGATGGACCGGTGAACGGTGCACCGTAAGCAACGATCATGGCGTACTAAGATTGAAGTTACTAGAGTAGTACTGATTCCACTCAAAAGTTACTCTGGCCATTCCATAATCGAGAAGTGCACATTGAGGCGGTACACATTTAGTTGCTGGGATGTATGATTCAATTTCTGAAACTTCATAAGCTGTTCGTATACAGTGTCCACTTGACGATTACAGTACGGAGTGTATGCATATGACAACCAGCATGAGTATTTTCATACAACTGACATATGCTAACGTAAGGGTATCTGAATGTAAAAAATGCGTATGCAGATAATATAGAAATGTGGTCTCAACTAATATCATGAAAAATAATAATGCTGGTTAGAACGTTAAGAACCTACGGTGATGGCCAGTTTCTACCATTATTCGGACACGTTGAGGCTTAGAGTACTCAGTAATGTCCATCCATCGGCTATCACCGTAGGTTTTCATGACCTCACGGGTCCTACAGCTGACTTCATCATCACACTGATGTGTGAAAAAAAAATTTCATCTACCGTAGCATCGTGCATTCAGTTATACAGTTTTCAGCATCACCATAACGGCTAATAATGCCGGTTAGGACACTCAGAATCTACGGTGATGGTCAGTTTCTAACATTTTTCAGACGACCTAGGGCTCACAGCAGTCACCGGTGTTGATACGCTGGCCATCACCGTAGGTTTTCATGTTCAAACCGACAACATCGTTTGTCTGATTATTGCATTCTTGCTTGAAAGTATGTTTTGTATACGACCACACGCTGCGAATCAAAAGTGCGATTTCAATCCTCAGTGCTAAGGCGAACGTGACCGGTTAGAATATCTAGAACTTAGTGAGATGGCCGGTTTCAGACATTCTACAGACGCCTTCTTTCTCAGATCAGGCAATGATGCTCTTATACCATTCATCATTATATGTTTTCATGGTTCCAACAACCCTTTTGTTAGTTTAATCATTATTATCACGTATGAAAGAAATGTTTCATTTGCCATGGCGTCGTCTACTGAAGAATAAAGCGTCGACTATTGTCATTAAAGTCAATACTGTCAGTTTGGAACCATGAAAGCCTATGGTGATGACTGGTTTCTACCATTATTCGGACGACTCACGACTCAATGCATCCGGTGGTGCCGATATGCTGGTCTCCACCGTAGGTTTGTATACTCTTACCGGCTTGATTCTCCACTAAATCCCAAATTTCTGATGAGCATTTACAAAAATCACTTTATTTGTGCAAGAGATCTCTTCTTACTGGAAAATTAAGTGTGCACGTCTCTGGGATGTACCAATTATGGTTAAAGCAGGAATACAATAAAAATTGACCTGTGCACCGTACCAATCGGTGAACGACGGACCAGTGACACCGGTGCTATGGTGAATCAGTGGACGGTGCACCGTCACCGTTGCATCCCTAATGATAATCTCGCGTGACATTTTTGCACTATTTTTTTTCTCTTTTATACGCAAGACAAACTTTCTGATCCTGATATTTTCAACAAGTGTTGACCGTAATGAGTGGATAAGATGACCAGGGTTGCCAGATTGTCTGAAAAGTCAGGACAGTGTCTGAAATTTGGATGCCTTTCTGATTTCCTTCTGACAGTCTGATTTTTTCTGATTTTAGCACGCTCGTCTGATTTTTCCTGTTTTTGATAATTTTCCTGCTTTTCTCCTGAATTCTGAACTTTTCTAAATCATATTACAGCTTTTTTAGCGAAATTAAATCATATCATAATTATTCGTGTGAACAATTTTATAAATATCTTTTAACTCAAACACATTTGTTAAAACAAATTCGAAAAAATGGAAAATATGAACAATAATATCGAATCTATGTTACATAATCATAAGTTTGTTTTTCATAGGATCTTATAACTTATATCGTATATATGTGATTTGTTTTTGTACTTTTTTGTGAACGAGTTTTGAGTTTAGCAAAAGAGTTCGACACTACGTGTCTTCATTAGTTTTTCCTTGTTGGCTAAACAGTACATTCATTATATTATCCTTTTTTATAGCGAAATATCTTTGAAAATAAAGTATGAATTAATGAACAGCTATTCAATAGAGCATCTTGTACCAACATGATACCATAATAATCACTAGGTTTTTCAAAAACTGACTTTTCTGATTAATTTCTGATTTTGAAAAAAAAATTCTGATTTTTGAGTTTTCGATCTGGCAACCCTGAAGATGACCAAAGTTTCAGCTCATTCTGTCATACCCTGAGAGAGAGAATTATACGTCAAAAAAAGTAAACAATCTCGCGTAACATTTAGGGTAACAACTATATTTTTAATCTGTATTTCATATTATACGTATATTAACAAATACTAGCCTAACTCGCTCATCGTCTTTGGCCACTTTTATCTCCTACCCATTGACTCTCAGTCAACACCAACCTGACCAATTTTAGCTGTGTTGTTACATGCCAAAGTCGTTTTCAACCTTGCATGACTGCAATTCAAGGGTTGACTGCGCATACAGTATGCAGAAAAAAATGTCATGGAACAACTAAGTAGTTTCATATCTAATAAGTGCAAACTGTTAACTGCAATACTGACAACTCTTGAAGTTCACATATAAGAAGAATCAGTCGGTTATATGACATTTTCTTCCAATAGATGGTAGTCAAAGTCGAACTATTTCCCTTGAGCTCTTACTATCTCAAGTTTTATCCGAGATAAAGTCGCGGTTTTTTGTGTGTTAGTGTGGACTTATTAGCGAATCCTACGTTGAAAAAAATCATGAAGCTTGAACGAGAAGAACTCGACATATTGAACTTTTACATATAAGAATTCAATAGTACAATAATTTTGGGATGGATGTGTGTGTGAATGTGGGTGTGGGGTGTGAGTGTGAGTGTTGGTGTGGAGTGTGGGTATTGGTGTAGATGAGAGGCAACTGAACCTACACCCACACCCACACCCCACACCCACACTCCACATCCACACCCCACACCCACACCTCACATCCGCACCCCACACCCACACCTCACATCCACACCCACACCCCACATCCACCCCCCACACTTACACCCCACACCCACACCCAACTTCCAGTTCGCTGTGATACTCGGTAAGCCATTACGAGTCACAACGACTCATTTTCATATCATTCTTCTACACATGTAACACACTCCGATTACTTAATCGCTAAAATTTTTATATATCCCTAGTTCGAGCATGACATTTTGGTGCTGTTGTCTTCTATCTATAGACGGAATGAATGAGTGAGTGACTGCTTTTTTTCGCAACTCTGATAAAAAAAAGAATTTTAAAAAGGATTTGATACAATTTTTTTCAATATATTTACCAATGTGACATTTTCTTAGATAGATGTAACTTGAGTGTAATTTCTATTACAGTGTCCGACTCGGATCGGGCCAGACCTCGGATCGAGTCGGGTCATGAAAAACATACTTGACCTCGGGTCAGGTCGGGTCGGACCGTATCGTGCTCGGGTCGGGTCGAGTTACAAAAAAGTGACCCGTGTTGGACACTGTTTTGTTACATGATAGCTTAGATGTTACTCTTCAAATACGGAATGGTCCAAAAGTCCGTGGGCATCCTTCAATTGCAAATCAAATTTGATTCCTCTTACGTATTCATTTAAAATTTAGCATTCTTATCCACTAGATATTTGTCAATAGAAGCAGCTGCATCGCATTGAATAATCCTTTGTGTGATATCAATGCTGAATTTTAAATGAAGAGATAATAAAGATCACGAATGATTAGCAATTCCAGAATGCTCAGTGACTTTTAACCCATCCTGTATAGATATCTACTGCGTCTCCATCTTTGAATATGACAAAGTTATTCAGAAAACATTAACAATAAAAATAGGATCACAACTTATGCAACATCCTTTATAATACAAACCGCTGTATTTCTTTTTCTTGACCATTATACGATAGAACAGTGCGAATTGAACTAATTACTTCTTCAGCAATCGCTCCGGCTTTTCCGTATGCTTTTAGTTCAGTTGCAGTCAAACTCGTAATAACCTACAGATAAACAAACAGATTATTCTGGCGAAAATAGTTTCAGTGTAAAACTATCATACTTTGGATGAAATTATGAATGTTGCAACTATTATTGGTAATGTGGACAATATGACTAATGCTAATTTCCATCCTTTGACCAAACCTACATTATCAGATGATTAAAAACTTTTCTTCTAATGAATGCTCTGATAGAAATAGCCTACTAATAATAACACAACTTATGAAAGTCGAAATCGCACGTATTATTGCACCAAGTTTATCACCAATGCCATCGCGAATTTTATTGACATCATCCGATAAAAGTGTATTAAGTTCACCAGTTTTATGAGTATCAAAATAGACAATATCTTTTTTAAGAATTGATTGAAATAAAATTTGTCGAATAGTTCGAGTTTGTCTCTCTGCTGTTATATTAAAAGCTGCTACTCGAATATAACCACATATAATCAGAACGCAACCAATTATTATGAAAAATATTATTTGGTTGTTTGTTTGGTCTTTCAGATCAAAATTAATTTCGGTCAAATTTGATCCAGTAAAATTACACAATCTAAATATAATTCGTTATCTTTTTTTTTTTATAAAATTTAATGTAAATATTCTTACGACGTTGATGTATAAAAATTATTCGATGTCAACATGACACCTGGTGGACAGTATTCTTGAGTAAGAGAGGTGAAATTGAGTGAACATAAATTAGTCACTCGATCAATAAATGTATTGATCGAATTACCAAAAATAACCAAAGATAAAGGATCGATAGCGCCAGATATTACAGAAGCAATGATTGCCAACAACATGTAAAGAAAATCAACAAAAGTAGCATATCGAAACTAAACAAATAAACCAAATTTGTAATGAACCAAACAATGATTTAATTTCCTTTTACCAAACTTCGGAGGCTCACTGTTTGAGTTAGTTTTCTATTTTGTCTTTTCATATTAAATCGTTGCCAAAAAGTCACTTTCATAGATTGTTCTTTCGCCAAAGAATTCATTCTATAAAAAATAACAAGAAAAATAAAATTTTAACCTAAATGATTATCTTTCATAATTCTTATCTAGCATTTCACTCGGTTCTACGTGATTCATATTCTCATTTGTTGTCATTTTATTCGACTGTTGGTCATCAAACATTGTACAGTTGTATTTTTTGATGATGAGTATAAAATAATGGAATCAAATTCGTAGTTTTTTACGTTATGTATTTAATGTTATGGGTCATTCCGAGGAAATCCTTCCATCGTTACAGTCAACTCCTTCAAATTCCGTCAAAATTTCAGGGTT